TAAAGTGTTCTTCAATCTAGAGGAGTAGTACAAGAGTTGGTATGTTAGCGGGAGGGGGATGTGCATTGTGTCAGGTATAATGAGGCTTTACGGTATGCCCTTGGTGCAGAGGGTCTGTTGGATGTGGCCGCCTCGAGGGGTGCAGATGAATACACTGATACCATCGTCTCGAGGGCTATAGATGCTTATGTGAGGCATAGGAATAGAGGTAGGTTGAGGGGGAGGAAGGGGAGGAGGAAGGTGTGTTGTGGTAGGGGACGAAGATGTCACTCAAGGGTCCACTGAGAAACGTGATGAGTTTGACCCTCGCATCGAGACGTTGGTGCAGACCTTATGAAAGACGCCCTGGCGATGGGCGATCTGAAGCAAGGTAGACTTCGTGTCGAGCTGTGCTGGAAGTGCATTGACCTCTCTATCAGGACTTGGGGTGGCTCTAGAGGCTCAGAGGCTCGACTGGGTTGAGAAGTTTATCACTTATAAGGAGTCTATGGTCGCTGAGATGCTTCTATACTGCAAAAGTAATACATTTGAGTGGGGACTTGTGGGAGTCTTAATCTCAGCGAATGCCCTGGAAGTAGTGGATGACCGTCAGTTCCGTAGCAAGGTGTTGGAGCTTCTCATTAAAATCTACAAGACCGGTAATACGACTGATTCACCACCTAGTTGGTTGGGTATGCTGCATTCACTTTCAGTGCCAGCGGGTCGTGACCGTGACTGGGCTGGTTTGGCGCAATGTTACTTCCTCCTGAACAAACCTGAGGAGGTTGGGACCATGCTGAGGGAGCTTCTGGACGATCACGACAAGTAGGGTATGATGGGCCTCGACATGTCTGGCATGGTTTCGTTTAGATTTGGTCGCCTTATGGCCATGCAAATCGCCTTTGATCTGGCCGACAGCGAAGCGCAGCAGTTCTGTCAGACGGTCTCGGCATGTGATGACCTCAAGTTGTCGGATGGTGGTGACACTGGGGTGACAGAGGGAGGTGACACGAGGGGGGCTCGAGGGTTGAGGTGATTGGTGATTGTGATAGATGTGAAGATGGAGAAGGCTGAGGCCCCTGCTGGTGATAAGAAGAAGGAGTGCATTGCGAACATAAAGAAGATTCTCGCTGGTGCGTTGGGGGGATGGGAACGTGATGTGGTGAAGTTATGGTATTGCTCGATTGGTAGGCGATGCCCAGACTGATTTGAACCTCGAGTTTCTCTATCGTAACTCTGCGACGGACTTGCTGCTACTGGACGCGATCAAGGC